TTATTTGTCTTAACTCCTTTCACCAAGATATCAAGAAAATCATCAAAAATAATTACTTTAACCATACCAAGGTCCATGCTAGGTAACAATTTTATTCTCAGTGTAATAACTATTGGTATACTATTTATTATTATTATTTTGTCTTTTTAGTAAACTTATTTGGGATGAGAGCTATAGCCCTGATCAGGAACTATCAAACAAGTTTGATGTGATTGTTGCCTCTGACTGGTATGTGATGAACCACTTGTCATCTTGTCATTACTGATCTGTTACGAGAAAAGTCAATATTCTTTTCACACCCATATGGAATCCAAATTGTCTTTTTCATAATATACACAGAGTCCTTCTGTTTGATGTCCATTGTCTAGTAGTTTCAGTTTCGATCCACTCCATGCATATTCAATCCACAATTAATTATTATTAGGTCTAAAACAACTATCATAGCAACRAACAAAAAAATCACGCAGGGTTCCTGTTTCAAAGCGGATGACAATTTTTATACCAGTCTCCTGGAATCTTATGAAGCACAGGAAGCCCAAAATTGAATGTGCAGTTCCATCATGACTTATTATTATTTTTTTTTTAATTGTCAGCTTGTTTTATGTGAAAAGCCACAAAGGATTGTTACACACTATTGATAAACTCCTAACTCCAGAGGTATGATCAAAATACAGGCTATCAGTATTAGGAAATTTTAATCTTTTAAACATGCTTTCTTGTCATCACAAAAGCAATCTAAGACTCTACTTTTATCTTAGGGTGAGGCAATATTAATGGCTCCTCGTAGATCTGGCACCCTGCAACAGTTCTGCAACACTGCAATGARATACTTTGATGTCCATGTGACTTCAGAGTATGATGAGCTTGTTTCTTTGAAAGTTAAAGAGGTATGGTTTTAGTAAAATGTTTATTGTTTAAATTTTATCATGATTTTGTGAAAATGCTTAGTTGTTTGCTTGTTTTGTGTGCATGTTTSTTTGCTTGTGTTRTTGTTGTTGTTTTTTTGAAGTAACAAGACTTGTTTACAATTTACAGGCTGTTATTTTAGGTGATATGTTTGAAGAAGACATTCATTTTCCAGTAATGGTGAAGCTTCACAGAAAGTCCTTGAACAATGAAGTAAACAAAATAGAAATACAGCATTTACAAGATGGAAATYAAGAGTTTTATTAATTTATTAATGGCTTATTATACCTAGTAGCAAAGTATTGTATTTTTGATATAAATATAGTATAGATATAATGGCTTTTGGAATATTTAGTAACACTGCTGCTATGATGACAAAGTAGTAGTGAGTCATTTGTTATGTATGATTATAAACATAATATTTCAATAATGATAAAATATATATTGGAATATTGTTCCATCTTGAACCATGCTATAATTTATTGAAGGCATTGAACCTGGTATCATTCAAGATAAAACATTTTCCATTATCAAAGATAATTGAAATAACTGTATAAAATTTCATATAAGTATAGTTTTTCAAGAATATAAAAAACATATCAAACATATTGAAAGYTTTTTTTTCTTGCCTCAACTTATATTGTGATGCTAGATTTTTTTTACATTATTTTTATTTGCAAACAATAAACAAAACAAATGTTATATTATTAAAAAAGTATTGACTTATTATAAGTTATTATAATATAACTTTAATACTTTGTAATGCTCAAATATATCAACTTGAATAAAATCCTTTTTAAAATACACATTGAACATGTCTTCAAAAGATGAACTTTTGCAGACTTTGTAATAGGTTTTTTCTTTTGAGCCTTGAGACTTTGATTTATTATTTTGACCAAAACAGTGAATATACCAAGTATACAACTGCAAGAACAACCACYGACACAAGCATTGTCTTTCTGTTTTCGCTTCTTAACGATTTCAGCTGTTGTTCTGCCAAAAATAGAAACAGAAAGTCAGTAAGGTTAGTGAGTATGGATTTATACTAAGTAGTGTGCTGATAGCACACTCATGAAAAAGTGCTAACTCATCAACAGTTTAATAAATATGATTTGGCAGTTCATAAGGTGTTCGGGTACCAATGGGCTACATTATTTTATACTTACGACATTCTTGGACATCACGTTTAATTTGTTTTTCTTCTTCCAARAGGTCTTCTCTGTTATTAAACAAAAACAAATCAATTGTACATCAGTGAAGTTATGTTTCAGTGGAAAGAAGCTTTCAGAAGGAAAAGCTTTTTTATTAGTCATATATGCATTGTTTAAGTTAAAACSTCTTGAATAAATACTGAAGCATAAGTCTAAGATTATCTTGTAATCATACTTTATTCGAGACATTATCTGTACACGGGATTATAATGTTTTTAAGGGAATAATGTGAATAGTAACCTTTCTTGGCTCGGCATTTCTCTGAGTCGCAAGCTTCTATCAATGCTATCGAGTCTGTCTTCATAACTGGCTATTTTCTTTTCAATATCTTCAATCTAAAGAACAACGAAAAATTATGAAATAACAGCATGTTTTCCAATGAACCCTGGACCTTTTCACATGATGAACGAGGCGCAACTTGAGATTGGCGCAATACTTATTTTAAACATCGTGCTTTCAAATTATCTTGATAAAGGAAAATCATAGAATTTCTTTCATACCTGTGTTACAATCGTTGACGTCATTTTCAATCAAAAAACTTCCTGTTAGAAAGCGAAACTTCAAGATGGCCTTGCGTTTGATTGAAAGCATGAAMTAACACGTCGACTTTTCAGGAGAAAACACGATATCTGACAGGCGTTCCTGTGGTCAATGAGAAAGCCTGGAACGATAAAAGGCCGCTGTCTTGTAAAACTGCAGGCTTTTTATTTTCAAGATGGCGGACGGAAAAACAGTCACATAATCGACATAATCAATCTTGGCAGGGTTTCAATCGCATTTTCAACTAGCTTCTTTGAAGCTTACTATCCTTTTTTCAATATTTTTTTATTATGTGTGTCACAAATCATTTTGTATTTTTCATATTTGTTGTTTTTGTTCGTCAATCGTCGTCCATTCCTGAGGAATGCCTGTTGCCTTTCCCACGTAGTTACGTTTCTTACAGTCTTAAACCACAAGAAACTATAGATATTGATGGAAGGATTGACGAGGATGCATGGAAAAMTGTTGGATGGACCGAGGAATTTATTGGTAAGCACCTTCTGAGAATCTCAAATTCATCCTTTGTTTCATCCACTTTTCACCTATTTGTTCATTCATTTATTTGCTTACATATTTACTTCTCTCAACATAATTATGTTCACTTATCCATAGCGATTCATTGTTGTAGTTGTTGAATTGAGTAAATTATTTACTCTAATTCAGCTAAAACTCTCATTCAACCATCCTTCCATCTGTTTGCATTCAAATGTTCTTCCTTACTGTTTGCCCAATTAAGAGATAACAACATAGCTTTATTTGCCAGCTGTCTGACATTTTAGAGCAGCAATAATTGCTAAAACCACAGATCACCAGAAATGCAGGCTGCTGACAATATACTGTCTACATTTATTAATTTAGACATTCAAGGGACAAATTGGCCGAAACCCAGATTCCTCACCCAAGCTAAAATGAGATGGGATGAGAAGTATCTGTAYATTGCTGGTTTTTTACAAGAACCTAATGTATGGGCCAATCAAACAAAACATAACTCTGTAGGTACGCATGCCTAATATCATATCAGTTTCCTTTTTCAATTTTATCTTCACTTATTTCATATTTACCTCAACTACATTTTTTTCAGTATTCAAGGATAATGATTTTGAGGTACTGTAAAAACATGRCATAATTAATATTAATAACTGACAATATCAAAACCAATAATAATAAATTCCATAGGTGGGAGAAATGCAATACAAAATACAAAATACAATGCAGATTTGACTTTAGAAGAGAGTCTCCAAGTTACATCATTGCTTCGCACTTACTTAGCCTGTGTACATCTGTTTAACTCACCCTTCCCCGATTTTTTGGGAGGGGTGAAAAACGGGTGTACACAGGCTACACTTACTGAACATTGTTCAAAGTATGAATTAAGTATATTTATTTTGTTGAAACAATCTTGTCTTTTTCAGGTCTTTATTGACCCAAATGGAAACACTCAYTGGTAATTATTATTATGATATTGTAAACACCAGATAAAAAATGTGTGAGAAATCTTAATTTATGGTAATTTACCAACATTGTAGGTACAAAGAGTTTGAAATAAATGCAATTAATACTACATGGGATCTTGAACTCAACAAGGTAAATAATTATGGATWAGGGCCAAACAAAACATCATTTGCGTTATTGAGATCTGCCCTAATCTGCCTAAGGGGTTCAAGAACAATTAGAAGACCAAAAACTGACTTTATTAATGTAGACATTGATGCAGAAAACTTGCAGGCAGCCATTTCATATATAAATATTTTTACACATTTATATTTAGATAATTTTTTATTTATTTTTCTTATATTTTGAGATTTTTCTTCTTGTTTACATATTTTTAGTAATAATAGAGATTTTTAAATTATATTATATTGTAGAAAGATTGTAGAAATATTTGAATATTGTATTTACATTTTAGAGATATTTTTCAATAAAATTATTATTATTCTTTATTTTAGGTAAATAATTATTATTTTATTCAGACAAGTTTTTGCTCTCCAATTATCAAATTTAGTATTGCTTCTATGGTTATTGTTAACATTTTTTTTAGAAAATGTTAATCTATATTTTTTTGACAGCCATATATAAATGGAGGAACTCCTAACAGTAGCTGGGAAATGCCATCTATGAAAAGTGGTATATATGTAGATGGTCCAATCAACAATCCGTCTTCTAAAGGTAAAGGTACTACTAATAAAAATATACAATTATCTATAAAGAATGAGTAAACATGTTTTATCAGATTTACAGAGACTGACGAATAAAACATCAGTGGTGTATCACTGATAAAGCATAGTTGTTTGCATAAACTGTTTATGATATCTATGCACATGACGATAATGGGCCACCGTGATTGGACTACTATAGTTCATGTAGCCTCTCTCACAGGCAACTCTACTCTGTGGGATTCCTGTGTAATTCAAAAAAAGCTGCAATGGGATTGAAAATGAAGGTAGTAAAAATTCAATTCAATATTGCATGATAGATTTGTACTGGACTGTTGAATTGGCATTGCCTTTCAAGGACATAGTATTACACAATGATGGGGCCAATGCACCTCCAAAAAATGCTGACCAATGGAGAATCAACTTCAGTAGGTGAGTTTTTTACAAGGTTGGGAAATGGACAGCTCAGCTAGAAAATGTGGACAGCTGTTTAGACCTCTATTTTCTTGACTCATTTGCTTTGCCTTAAAAAAGATCTGTTGTCATAAGTTGCTTTCTGATTGATTTATAAAAATATTAGATGGCAATTTCTTGTGAGAAAATTTTKCAAAGGTTCTCAAATGCATGTGGCCCTTAAATAATAATATCTTAAATTTGACATGCTTTTTCTAGAGTTGAATGGCATGTAAAAGTTGTTGAAGATCACTATGTAAAGGTATGAATTATCAAATTTGCTACAGATCCTGGAAGTCATTTATTCAGAGCATTGACTTTGTTTTCTTCAATCACCTAGATACCAGGTCTGCCTGAGGATAATTGGGTGTGGTCTCCACAGCGTGCCATAAACATGCACCTTCCAGAGAGGTAAGATTAAGAGGCCCAAACCTCAAACACTCATCCAGTCATGCTCAATTTATATATGAGGCATGTATTTATAATTATTATTGATTAAATACTGTCTGATGAGTGCGTAGCACGAAACTCTGAGTAACAGCAAAATCTTGCCTCTTTGATATTATATATATATAATTATTATTGGTCATTATATTAGATGGGGATTCCTGCAGTTCAGCACTGACCAAGTTAACACAACGAAGTTTGTGGAGACACCAAATTGGCCGGTGTACTCATCTCTTGTTCTTGTTTATGAAGCAGAGAAGGTAATGGAATAAATATCATAAAACACCGCGTGAAACAAACGCTAACATTTATTAAGTGAAATATTCAAATACTCCAGTTTCGAATTCATAGCGAATAACCGCTGCTTTATTTGACAACAGATTCTCTTGCGCAAAGACCGTACAAACACAAAAGAGAGCACGAGAAAATGTCGTTATTACAATAGACTTGAAAATTTGCATTTTCCCCGAGTTGAGATTATCCCTGTATTCCCATAAGACCTAAGGTATGAGCAGGGTTAGCCTCAACTCGGAGAAAATGTAGATTCTTAGCGCTCTATTGTATTAACAACATTTTCTCGTGCTTTCTTTTGTCTTTGGTAAGTTCTTTGCGTAATAGAATCTTCTGTCAAGTAAAACAGCGGTTATTCGCTTTGAATTCGAAACTGGAGTATTGACGCAAAAATGATATCTTTGTTACCCAATTCATGGAGTTTTTGACTTCACTTTCAGAAATACAACGCCATAAACGGTTACTACACATCAAATCTGAGCCTGCTAGAACTTCCAGAGGTACTAGTGTCTGGTGATTGTAACGTCAAAATAGATGTCGAGGTTATAAATACTTATAATTTCAATGCAACAGTTCAATCTCTAGACCCTAGTCTTGATGTT